TCTATGAGAAAGATTATTAGTTTGTACTTTATAACTCAAGTTCCGAAAACACCATGCCTTAATTATATATCTTTTTTTATCAGAATGTCATGACCAAAGTTAATCATAGTCAGCTATACGATTTCGTATTATTTTGTTAAATTTCTTCTATAATTTTTTCTGATTTAAGCGATTTCAACTACATTGATTCTATATAATAAAAATGCCGATTAAATACTATTATATACTAATAAATAACATAATGGCTACCTAAGAATGCAGTACGCATCCTCAAAAATGCTTAAATCACCAACGACCGGTAATTCGCACTTATCCCACGTCCAATCAAATCGATAGCGTAAAAGCTTAGCTCAGCTCCAGACATTTAAAATATTAGTAATATATTTTTTAATATATAATAAATATCACCAACTTATCATCTCGTAACTAACCATAGGCTATTAACTTTTTACATTGTTCGTCTGTTACGTACAAATTGTTTTTAAGAATTGGTTCAGACTATCCCTTAACATCGCCATAAGTTTTACTTTGTCACATATTTTTTTCGACAGGAAGCAGGTAAACCGAAAGAAGTCAAACCACCGGAAGTTTCGACATATACTATTTCAAATTTATTCGACGTTTTGACAAAGGTTCCTTTCATGACAACTATATGTCCAATTCTAGTCTTCATGAAGAGATTTTGTTCTTCATTCCGTGCTTTATTTGTCGAAATTGCTTTTATATAATTTTCAACAATAAATGATTGAATTTCAAAAAAAATTATGATCTATTTATCAAAAATAATTTATATTCTGACAATTAAAAAATCCTTGTTGAAAATTTTAGCTCTTCTTCATACATGTCTTTCGTAGCTTAGGAAATTTATCTACCCTAAATATTATATATAATAGGAACATTAAATAACAAAATAATTTACACGATGTATTCGTTAATATACATACATGAATTGGACGCTCCTAATTTTTTGACGATTCGATATTATCGGCAACAAATAATTTGTCAAAATATTCTTGAATTTCTTTTGGGGCTGTAACACCATTCCGTCCAATTTTATTTGAAAAAATCCCGAGATAATTTTTGTATATCCATATCCTGTTTTTGACTCTCCATCAAATCCATACGCAGGGCTAATAAATAGAATGAATAAAATATTATAAGCAGGATAAAATTTGTGTTTATAATGATGATTCTAAACTTACGTCGAAGCCTTGTGAGTTTTTGATATCTTTTTTTGATATTCGCTAAATGCCTCGATTATATTTGTATCAAGGAACTCCTATTGATAATAGAATAATAAATTTGTTAAATACTTATTCACAAAATATTTATAAGAATTACCTCTAATGATTGGTTATTAATGCTTACTGATGACAATAGAACTTCGTCTAATAGCGAATTGCATCATCCACTTTTTCGATAAATGACTCCTCATTTGACTCATTAAATATAAGTTCAACACTCTCAAGAAATTCCTCGTCATCTTCTCTTATAACGTGCTTGTTGCAATTCTTTTCATCTCGAAATTGAACCGCTGATATTGCATCAGGAGAACTTTTTGTGAACAGAATTAAAGTTAGATATGACTTTCAGAAAAAAACTCGCGTGGCCTTTAAAGAAATACCTTTTGCTTCGTAAATCTCCGATTTCATCAATAATATTTGTCTTAAGTTTCGTCTGAAAATTTGAGAAAACAAAATAATGTGCAAATAATTGTAAAACTTATAATAAAATCACCAACTTCAAACCACCTCGACTAGTAATTCACTCAGCGTTAAACGAACTTTTGAACCCGCAATTTCTTTGCTCCGATCCCAGATAATATCAATGATTTCTGACGATTTCTTACAATGTAAAGAGATAGTAAAAACAGTAAGAACTTACTTAAGGAAATTCATAGTATTTTTTTTTTTTTTGTGCATGTCTACAAGCAGGATGTACACGCGAAAGAATCACATCGCGCTTCTCTTCCCCATCAGGTTAGAAAACACCCAACCTTCTTCGAAAGTACCGAAGGGCGTAGTACACCCGGTCAACATAAAACTCGAAAAAATCTCAATGAGTAAAGCCATCGCGCTTCTCTTCCCCATCAGGTTAGAAAGCACCCAACCTTCCTCGAAAGCACCGAGGGGTGTGGTTAAAAGCTGACCAACAGTCTTGCCTGACACTCCTTCTTTCACAATAAACTAATCTATGTAATAACACCGCTTTTTCTGCCACCTTTGATCAGATACTTTAGAGAGAGTTTTCAACTCGGAGTAAGGGTTCGATCTTGCTTTTGATGAAGAGTTAGGTCTAAAATATATCGAACGACTCAAAAGACCAATTTAGCCAGTACTCTGCAAATCGGAAGTTAAAAAGCAGTCTAGGATATTTCACGTGCTATAGTCGACATAAAAAGGGACAAATCACCTTTATAATAAAGATTTGGCGGAATGAGAATCGTATCCTGTGTAGTGTATTGGTAAAAAATTTGGTGAACCGATCAGCTTCTAATATCGATTCATTTGCACATTTCACTCCCACCTTTTATTTGTCGCGACAGTGACGTTGATGTCACAAAACAAGATGTGCATTAATCAATTTTGATTGGGTGATCTTTGTATACGTTCCTTATTAAGTCTAGGAATTGTTCTTAACGACGTCAAATAGTGTTGCTTTGATTTTCCGTCAATTAGCAGAACGAACGTACGTCGATATCACCATCGAGTCAGATACGTGCGTAACTTTTGATTCAATTCTTGGTGGTTAGCTCAATCCGCAAAAAAGCAAACAACGAGCACGGTTTGCTGTTAGATTTATACCTTACGTTAAAAAAATATATATATTATTATTAGCGCACGCAACTCGGGGATTGTGTACGAGCGATAAGATAAATACATCGAAGTGTTCTGCTCTGTTCGCGTCGCGTCGGGGTATACTAAAATTGGTGAAAAAATTTTGATGAGAGATCTATTAACAGAATCTTTAATTTGAGAGGCGTAGTTAGCAAGTGACGCCGAGATATCAAACGTTCCGCTGAAAATTTTCAAGTTAATTGACAAGGAAATAATCAAGATAGGAAAATATGACGTCGACTTATTTCATGATGGTAAAGAAAAGAATAAGAGTTTGTGGATCGATTTTGGTCGGTGGCTGGGGATGAAGGTGCCTATTACAAAACGAGATGTGCGTCGTCACCTTCGATTGAGTAGGATTAAATTGCAACCGATAGATTTTAAAACAAACAACGGGATGTTTCTAATGTCACCGCTCAAATTACTCGAAATGAAAAGACCAGAATGATAGTCTCCGCACGTGGGTCTTCTTCTAAAAAGGTACATTTTCATAATATCGTAGAACCGGATGCGACACAGATGTCGAGGGTGGAGCTTTGATTCATTTGGGAATGCTTGACGACGGTGCCGTAAAAAAAGCTAACGAAGCTATAAATTACTATTATTTCCACACCTTGAGTAATCCTCATCGTAGCAACGATTTCTGGGAAATTTTATAGAGCATTTTGGAACGTTCGCGCGAAACAATCTCTTACCTTTCACGAGTGCAAACACAACAAGTTCACATAACGTTAATCACCAAGAATGTGTTGACGCTCTGTTGCGCGACCTCTATCCGCTTTCAATTTCATTTAATCAATGCATGCGAGGATATTACGGAGGGTTATATGAGAAACTTGAAAATTTATCATGGACCTTGACCTTTTGTGGTCTTCTCGATGATCGAAAATAATTTTAACACGATCAGCGATTACCGTTGGGAAGATCTCGACGAGTCAAACTCTGTTTTTCGGTGGCGTTTGGAGATTTCAAGGGTGGTGAGCTTTACTTTCCGCAACTCCAGATCTAGGTTTCATTGAGGCCGGGACAGAAGGAGCATTCTCTTCACGCTTCTTATTACACAGCAATTTTCCCGTGACTCGAGATATCCGTCATAGCGTCGTTTATTTTGTTCACTGTAATTCCTTTCACCAACTACGCATTTTACCGAGATTTATAAAGATCTAAAAGGATGTGATTGAGCGAGGTGGGAGTCGTCTCTTCAATCCCCCACAAAACTAAATAACTAGACAAGCCGTAAGCCAATCAGATTTGAGTTCCACCGTCATCTACCGATTATAGAAGACATATTGGTAAGTCTTTACACTAGTCTTATAATATATAAACGAAAAAAATTAATATAACCGCAATTTTTAGATTTGAGACGAACACGTCGTGGGCCAAAGGCTGAATACCAAATAGTACATCGAAGTGATAATGTAGATAGTCTAGATTTGTTTCGTGATTACATAATAGAAATTGATTCCGATTTCTCGATGTAAACAGCCCCTTTGGCACATCTTTGAGGCATTATCAAATAAAAAATTTTCGTGTGTAAATATATCAATGATCGTTTATAGTTTATTATGAATTATATCGGCCTAGTTTCAATTATTTTTCCTTGGCATTTTTCTAGACATGCCCGCAAAAATAAATCACGTGAATGGATTTTTTTTTTCTTTTTTCAAACTTGTGAGAAAAGGGTACAATTTGAATGAATGCGCTTTTTATATAAAGTAATGTCGGAATGCTCAATTAAAAATGGATTCATTACAAGAATTAAATTCTCAATTCATTGCCGCAATTGCTAAACTTAGAAAGAAGAATGCTGAAGTTAAGGCCAAATATGATGAGGTCGTGGGTGATATTACCGAGGTCAAGGCTGAAAATATCGAGGTTAAAGCCGAGAATGCAAAATAAGTCAGGCTTTGGAGGAACATGAAGCCAGATTCACAAATCTAGAGCAGAGATAAAGAAAAGATCAACCTTATTGCTAAATTAGATGATAACATCAAGGGAATCGAACAGTCGAAAACCAATACCAGTTCTATCGAGAATTCTGACAACACTCTTGATCAATATCAACCTATTCGCACAGAAACTGTTATTGGAAGATAAAGGGACGGATGATTTTGTTGGATAGGGCATACAAGAAAAGTGTTTGTGATAAAGCAACGCAATAAAATGAAGAAACTCCAAAATTCAGAGATATTTGTAGCTTCCTGGAATATCATTACTCTCTTGGACGGAAAAAACGGACAGGTTGATCCAAGAAATGTCTTCATTTATGTCTTCACTCAAAAAAAAAGATATCAAAGATATCAAACCATGCGACCAAAATTTTCGAGACAACGCGAGTCCCAGAATTTGATATACCCCCACCCCATGGATCCAGTATGATAGAAATATCTTAATATTTGGCCAGGTTATGCGATAAAGTACTTATAGTAGAAGAGTGTACATTGGAAGCAAATCAATAAGAAACATTTTACTGGCACCATTATGGAAGAAACTTCATATTTCAGGAGAAGGCCTTATTTATAAAAATAAAATTGGCGAAAAGAAGGCAAAAGGCTTAATATATGATGAAGTCATGAAACAACTTGATATCCTTCGTAAGAAAGATTTTAAGATATAGGATTATCACTTCATGATGTATCAAGAGATAGTTCGCGTAAAAAGACAGAACTCTGATCTACAAATTGTTTGAAAAGATAGGAATGGGTAAAATCAAATATATTAGAATATATAGTATGAATGAAATATCAAAGTTTACTAACTAAGAAATCTTGATGATTACCAATTGTTTCTTGAATAAGCCCAAAATGAATTCCACATATAATCAAGACAATTCTAATAATGATTCATACTAACATATTGAAAGAAATAAAGCTTAGATTTAGCTAAGGGTAAGCATCTCATCCAAGCCTACCGAACCTACAAAATCTGAGATAAATATCTCAACCATACTTAATGCCTTGTCTCATATATCTGTCTCAAATACTTATAATTAAAAATTACTTAATGAAAAGATCGCCACATCTCAAACAAGTGCATCATCCCATCCCCATAATTATTTTTAACAAAACCCGACCTTAAATTCTATTTTACCTAATGATCTAGAGAAAAGAAAACCTATTATTGGTAAAATACTAGAGCAATTTCCTGATTTATCTTTGAATGATAGTATTAAGTATAGAAACTACTTTAATTGTTAAGAGAATAGTATTTGATAAAGATCATAAAAAGAAAATAGAAAAGGTAATGTAAAGGTGATGACAATTATATTAACGAAAACTAATAATAACAAATGTTATAAAAATTATCAATTTGTAATTAAAATAGTAGCGGTGAAAATAAACTATGGATTTCTAATATTATGTATCATTGATTAACTTAAATGATATAAATATTTTTCAAAATATTTAAACCAAAATTTCACAAATCAAATAACAAATCGAAGAACTCAACAAGAGAATTATCTATCTCAAAAACAATAATAACAATAACATAGACAAAGACTCTTAACCTTATGAATAACAAAATATAATCAACTCAAGTCAAACAATGATCTTATTAATATTTATATTAAATTAATAACCTTATCAATTTTCATATTAAATTTATAACTATATGATAATATAGAAAACTAATTCAATAGAATTATCATAAATATTAGCAATCTTATTTCATACATCTTTTACTATTAGTCAATAATAATTAATAATGTATTTATAACCTTGCACTAATTGAAAAAAATTATTTGACATATTACTACTTATGTAATATTTAGCAAAAAATGATATAAATAAATCAACAACTATAAATTTAATCAAAAATATTACAAAAATTAGTATATTAAAAATTCATTAAATAATTCATTAATTATTTAGCAAAAATTTATTAAAAGCTTGTTACAAAATTATTGATTAGCAATTTAATAAAAATTTGATATTAATTTATTAATAATTCATCAAAAATTCATTAATAGTCTATTAATAATTCAAGATATATTTATCAAAACTATTCATTAAAAATTTGTCAATTACTTATTAAAAATTCAGCTTAACTATTCATTAAAAATTTAACAACTATTTATTAGCAATAAAGTAAAAAAATTGATAAAGTTTTACATAAAATTTTTTGAATTGAAGTTATATTTATAAATTATATATAATACAAACTATAATATAATATATAATATATAATTTATATTATTATAATTTAACTAATTATATATTATTATGTAAATAATATAATATAATTTATAAATATAAATAATTTTTTTCACAAGTTTTATAAATTTTTGTTAAATAATAGATA